TGGCGGGTCCGGGCTGGGGATTCGAACCCGCCACCTTAGGTGTACGTGGCTGGCGCCTTAGCCGGTTGAGCTATAGGCGCCGAGCCTTTAAATTTCATGTTAAAAAGACATTGCTGACAAGTACAGAACATAGTTGAGTATTTCTAAAGGAAATTAGATGAGAAGACTTTCCTTTTCATTGAAAATCAAACTTCAGAAAGTAAAATAATTAGAGAAATACATTCACTTCTCTTTGACCTTCATGAGTATTTGGTCTTACAATGACTACGTGAGAATGTAGTGTTTTGACAAGTTGGTGAGATTTTTCTCTCATGTGAAATCCAATTATTAGATTTGAATTATTAGATTAAATTTATATTTAGTCCCCAAAACATTCAACTAATCAAACAATCACAGTATGTGCCAGTTTGCCACAGAAGGTGGCCTTTATTTCTGTAGCTAACAAATAATTATACAGTTTCTTTTTAGAGGTAGAGAATATCTCTGTGTTCTCCTAAAGACATTTTTTATCAGTCTTATGAAAATAGATTAATAAAATATCAAAATCAAGGCCAGGCGTAGTGCCTCACACCTATAATCCTAGCACACTGGGAGGCGGAGGCAGGTGAATCACCTGAGCTCAAAAGTTCGAGACCAGCCTGAGCAAGAGTGAGACCCTGTCTCTACTAAAAAATAGAAAAACTAGCCAGGAATTGTGGTAGGCACCTGTAGTCCCAGCTACTAGAGAGGGAAGAGGATTGCTCAAACCCAGGAGTTTGAGGTTGCTATGAGCTATGATGACACCATTGCACTTTACCCAGGGCCATAGGGTGAGATTCTGTCTCAAAAAAAATAAATAAATCAAAATCACCTAGGATCATGTGGAATAAAGAAATTCTAATGTTTTTAGAAAATAGTGGCTCTTGCTCAAAGTATATAATATGATTTTAGTAGAATTAGCTATATTTTAAACCAAGTTAGTTTTTGTTTTTTGGGTTTTTTTTTTTTTTTTGAGACAGAGTCTCACTTTGTTACCCTCAGTAGAGTGCCCTGGCATAATAGCTCACAGCAACTTCAAACTCCTGGGCTCAAGTGATTCTCTTGCCTTGGCCTCCTAAGTAGCTGGAACTACAGGCACCTGAGACAATGCTCGGCTATTTTTAGAGACGGGGCCTTGCTCTTGCTCAGACTGGTATTGAATCCATGAGTTCAAGTAATCCACTCACCTCAGCCTTCCAGGATTACAGGTGTGAACCACCGCACCCAGCCTAAACCAAGTCAATTTTATTGTGAAAATGTAATATATGACTGCATTCACTTTGTTGTAATCAATGAAACGTAAGTGGCTTCTGTTCTTCCACATCCCGTCCCTGATGAGATGGGCAGTATCACAAAGGGACTTGACATTCTACCGTCTAACACTAAGAAGTATAAAATAATATTTAATATTCTTCTTACCTTTTTTAATTTGTTGTTAAAACATTGGTATATCCTTGCTGGGTGTAGCATATCATGTTTGAAAGTAATTTATACTTTAGAAGATCAAAAACTTATCAGAATTATTGCACCATTAACTACTGACTACCCTTCATGCCTGCTAACACTTTTGAGGAGCTCAGTTAAAGTTCTGTGTAATGAAGGTACATGTCAAAAGATTTGCTACACAATTTTTCATCTCCTATGTATATTATTACTATGCATATGGAAATCATACCTAGAGAAAAATAAAAGTTGTTTCAAATCTGAAATTTGCCCTTGTAAGAGAAGGCTGAAAATCATTACAGAACAATAGCTATATAAATACACTAGCTTGCTATTTCAATTTCAATATTATTTATTTTGAGAAAAGTTGTCTCTCACTATTGGATTTTAATATATATTCTATATTGTTTAATGATATAAACATTTTTTAGAAGTTCACACATTTTTTTCTTTAACCTGAATTTCCTGGTTCCATTCTTATATTAATTTAAATATTTCATCATATTTATTTATTTATTTATTTTTTGAGACAAAAACTCACTCTGTTGCCTGAGGCTAGAGTGCTGTGCATCTTAGTTCACAACATCCTTAAACTCTTGGGCCCAAGCTATCCTCTTGCTTCAGCCCCCTGCATAGCTGGGACTCTAGGCACCAGCCACAACACCCAGGTAGTTTTTCTACTTTTAGTGGAGACAGGGTCTAGGTCTTGCTCAGGCTTGTCTCAAGCTCCTGAGATCAAGCAATCCACCTGCCTCAGCCTCCCAGAGTTCTAGGATTATGGGTATGATGCCTGACTATCAGATTTCTTTTTAATAAATTAGCCATCATTAGTAGCAATAGAAATTAATAATTCACATTTTATTAAAGGTAGTGGCTTATTGAGATATATGTAGATACAAATAGACCAATAAATATTATACTTTCATGCCATAAGATACTACAGTAAAGTTCTTATGACATATATAAATATACCAATAGCAGGCTTGACTATCTCAAAATTATGAAATATTGGCATTCTATCCTAATATACATATAGTATGTGTTTATATTTCAGATGGCTTTTAACTGGCTATTTAATAGTTTCATTAAATAGCTTAAAGTAATTCATGAATTTTTGGCCTATGGAAAAACAAAGAATGAGAGTCACTCTTCTAGAAATTATACTACACCTGTATAGAGTTTTATCTCATAAACCATTTATTAAAAACTGAGATGAGTGATTATCTAGGTACCTAACTTCTTTTGTAGAATGTCAACATTTAATTAAATCATTTTATTTTATTTTATTTTTTTAGAAATGCGGTCTCACTGTGTTGCCCACACTGGAGAGCAGTGGCTATTCACAGCCACACTCATAATGCACTGGGGCCTGGAACTGGCAGGCTCTAGAGTTCTGCCTGCCTCAGCCTCCTGAGTAGCCAAAGGCATGTGCCACTGCATCCAGCTTTAATTAAATCATTTGAATTAAGTTGGCGTTTTGAAGTCTTCCCATATTCCTACAGGGAGTTGCCCAAATCTAACATTTTGGTTTGACTATTGCAATCTGATGAAAGTGAGGTGTATAAATTCTAATTGCTGATACCCAGGTTCAGAGGGTATCTTCTGGCAGACTCACATTTGGGAAGCATATATAGGGAAGAATCCTTCATTGAAGATTTGAAACTGGGAGAATATGGTAGATAGTTTATATATCTAATTCAGAACATTACAATTAAGATTTGCATCAAATAGTGTTTAAGCTGGTTCTTATTTTGTCTGTAGTTGCATCTTTTAACATCAGTACAGTGTCCAAAAAGCATATGATAATAAGTGGAATTATTATACTCAGAGACAAAGCAGAAAATTTAACTGTCAACACAAAACCATAGGTAAACAAATGAAAATTCTAAGTCTTAAGATGAGTTTTCTTAAGCAAAAGTGGATGCAAAATTAATATAGCTGTATTATATATCAGCTGTAACCAGTCTGAACTGAAACAGAAAAATGATCCTGTTTATAATAGCAAACTAAAAATAGACACTTTTTTCAAAAACCGTAACACTTTAAAATAAGAAGTATATTATGTATCTAAAAGAAACAATTGAAAATTCTAGAGATGACTGTTATTCAAAAATTAATCTGTTGAAATCCCCATAGATTGATAGATATGTCTACTCTTTCCTGCAGAAGCTACTCTAAAATTTTAGAGAAAATTATTTGCCACCTGTGTTATGATTAATTAAAATATAAGGTGCTCCTATGAATCAGGAAAATATAACTTTGGAAAAATGGGCAAATGATATAAGAGCTTCACAAAAGAAGAAGTACTAAGCCTCTCGTGAGCAGAGAAACATAAATTAAAATGAAACATTTTTCATAATTGCCAAGGCATGGAAACAGCCCAAGTGCCCATTGACCCATGAATGGATTAACAAATTGTGGTATATGTTCGCCATGGAATACTATGCAGCCATAAGAAAAGGTGAAGACTTTACATCTTTTATGTTTACCTGGATAAAGCTGGAACATATATTCTTCTTAGTCACGTATCTCAAGAATGGAAACAAGTATCCAATGTATTCAATACTGCTATGAAATCAATCACCTACACATTCATACAAATGGTAAAACATAACTATAGTCCAGAAAGAAGAAGAGAAGAAGAGAGAGAGGGGAGGGGAGGAGGGAGGGTATTTGGCGGGACCTCACCTAAGGTGTGTGATGCAATGGTACCTTTCAAAACTATTAAGAAAAGAGTATAATTGTGATGGATGTGTTAATCAGTGCAACGTAAGCATTTTACATTGTATATCAAATCAGTACACTGAACCCCATAAATGCTTCAGTGTACACAGTTATTTCATTTTTATTTTATTTTTGTTTTTATTAAATCATATTTTTGTTTATCAAATTATAACAAGTTAAAGAAACATATCCAATATATGTAAGGGTAAGAGGAAGTGACCTCCTCATATATTTTTTAAAAGTCTCTATATGGCCCAGGCTGGACTCAAGTTCCTAGGTTCAAATGATCCTCCCTCCTCACACCCTAGGCCTACCACAGCCTACCACAGGGCCCTTCTGAAAGCCAAAAAAAGTTGATATTATCAAAAAAAAATTTTTTTTTGAGACAGAGCCTTAAGCTGTCCCCCTGGGTAGAGTGCCGTGGCATCACAGCTCACAGCAACCTCCAACTCCTGGGCTCAAGCGAGTCTCCAGCCTCAGCCTCCCAAGTAGCTGGGACCACAGGCACCTGCCACAATGCCCGGCTATTTCTTGGTTGCAGCCATCATTGTTGTTTGGCGGGCCCGGGCTGGATTCGAACCCGCCACCTTAGGTGCATGTGGCTGGGGCCTTAGTCACTTGAGCCATAGGGACCGAGCCG